ACAACTTGAGATTTTATTATTTGTTTGCATTCTTGAAACTTGATTTCTGAAAAGCTTTTTATTTTCACTCGCTTATAATCCTGATATTTTTGCGAAGGAAGAATCAATTACAACTTGCAACAGTTTGTAGGCAGCAGAACATCCTCTATAGAGTGACACTTTCATTGCGGCTAGACAATCGCTCGCGAAACGATTTTTACAAAGCTCCGAGATGAGCTTTGGAAAGGATCGGCGCCTTAAAAAAAGCAGGTTCGTTAAGTTTCTTGTCTCGATCCTCACTCGCGCGTCAGACACAAAAAAGGTTTCCCTTTTTCTTTCGTCCTCCTCTCTTCGTTGTTCGCCGTCTTTCTCTCCTCTCTTTCTCTGTCTCTCTCTCTTTCTTCCTTCCTTCCACTCGCACCATCGTTCATCCGGCAGAAACGGGAAACGCCTAAACTATCGATCGAATCACGTAACTGTAGGCGGGGGCCAGTAATCTCGTTTTTATAACGAACTTCGCCGCGCGAGTGAAATGTCTCCGGGACGTTATCGTTATAGACATTATGAATTACGGCTCTTCTGGTCGATCGAAGCGCGACTTATAGCGAGCAGTGTTAATATCTAATACTCGGTATCGATAAATATCAGTAATTACAATGATATTACATATTTTATCTTATGAGAGTTAATACGTATAAAATACTACAAAGTACATTTTTACTCTATCTCACGATAATCTCGAAATAACTTTACATCACGAAAAGTTGACATCAAATTTTAAATATGTACATTTTATTATTGATATTATTATTCCAATCTTTAATACGGTCTTTTCGATAGCTTTGTGTAATATTTCAAATTTCAAATAGGACTAATTTTATAGCAAGATGAGATGTAGTCTTATCTTATTGAAAAACAAATACTTATATTTTATCATCTAAGTTATATTATCTATTATCTATTTTATTTTCAGCTGTATTAGATTCAGCATCTCCAAATCAATATCCAAAATCAATATTTCTCTTTAAAACACTTAGCGATACCATTTTCAATATGAACTCTTCCATCTCAGCATATAGAATTTTCCACCCTGATAACGCATCGTATTTCGCTTATCTCGTCAACGCTTTTTAATTTTCTAAATTTTTCTAAATTTGTTACTATTACGTGTTTTATGTCGTTTTTTAGAAAATTTTTTATCTTTACAGTTCTGAGCTCAAAAAAGAACGCATTGTTTTGTTTCTTAAAATTACTTTCAACTCTGTAATTCTATGAAAAAAATTTTTTCAAAAAATTCATTCATCGACAAGTACTGAAAGCAGCAACATTTTATCTACAAAATGCGTTTTTTTTTTT